GGGGGGGGGGGGGCGAGGGATCTTTGTTGTGTGTTTGTGTGCGCTTGCATATGTCTGAGGGAAAGGGGCTATTGCTTGCGAGATTCGGGGTGTGTGTACGTGTGTGTGTGTCTGCGTGCGTGCGTGCGTGCGTGCGTGTGTGCGTGTGTGTGTGTGTGTGTGTCTGCGTGCGTGCGTGCGTGTGTGCGTGCGTGTGTGCGTGTGTGCGTGCGTGTGTGTGTGTGTGTGTGTGCGTGAAGCGTGTGTATGTGCATGTGCGTGGGATCTGTGCGGTGAAATTGTGTGTATGTGCGTGTGTGTATGAGAAAAGGCAATAATGGTTTCCGGAGATTTTGTGTGTGGAGTGTGTGAGTATGTGTGCGTGCGTGTGTGTGTGTGTGTGTGTGTGTGTGTGTGTGTGTTTTTGTGTGTGTGTGTAGCAGGCGGCACCTGCAGCACGAACGCACGTTCTGCGTTTCGTGGGCTTGCTTGATCTAGCTCTTGACAATAGAGCCGTGCACCGCATTGCGCTGCGGAGGCAAGCGCCGGCCTGCCCGCCACCAACCTGAGGCCCAGCCCACCTGGCACCACGCCCGGCGGGCGCGCCGGCACTGGCCTGAACACCGCCGCCCTCATATACAGTGACGCCTCAGCCCCCAGCCCGCTTTTCCACGCTGCTCTCACGCCCCACCCCTCCAAAGCTGCCAGCTACACCAATCTCGCTCCTGCCCTTCGCCGCCAGTCCCGCTGCCGGCACGCTCCCGCTCACCTCCTCCCGCCCGATGACGTCACCGCCCGCAGGACTTCCTGCAGCGCGTGGCTGTGGGCAGGGGCATGCCGGTGGAAGACGTGCGGGCGCTGGCGAAGGGGCGCGTGTACTCGGGGCGGCAGGCGCTAGAGGTGCGTCGCGGCACCCCAGGGCCGCGGCCTTTCTGGGATTTTTCTCAATTGCGCTGCGCCTCGCGTCGCGTTCAGATGCATGTGTGCAGGATGTTGTTTTGGGAGGGGGTATCAAGGGCCCGGGGGGGGGGGGCAAGAATGAACCAAGGTGCGGGGCGGTATCCCGAGCCGGCGCCGGGCTTAGGAGGGCTGCGCGGCGCCGCAGCCGCCGGGCCCGCCCCCAGCCAACAAGGCAGCCATGACAGCACACGCTAGAGAGGCCGGCACGACCGCAAAACATGACCAAGATAACCCTGACCATCAAATCCGCACCCATCAAACCGTAAACCCTCAACCCTCGACCCTCAACCGCCAAACCTCGGACGCTCGAACCCCAGATCGGCCTGGTGGACGAGATCGGCGGCGTGGGTCGCGCCATAGAGGTGGCCAGGGCGGCCGCGGGGCTGCCCCCGGAGCCGGCGGCCAGCCAGCTGCTGGAGTGGCCGCCCCGCAAGATCCCCCCGGCGCTGGCGCTGCTGAGGAGCTCGGGTGAGTGGTGCGACAGCGCTGCTATTCTTTGATCATTTGTACCTATCCCGTGTCGTTTAGTCTGTCCAAACGTGTCTATCCAATGCCTGCCAAGGCTCATGTTTTGGGCTGCGAGTGAGGGTTGTGAGGGAGGGGGCATGTGCTGTCAACGCCCTGAGGATTGGATGGCAGGGGTGTATCTTATCTGGGAAGGGCGGGGGCGAAGGGTGGAAGGTTTCGAGGTGCTTGGGGCGGAACCCAAGCAATCGATTACCCTCCGCGTCTGATTATTATCAGCCGCAAGAACAGGACCACCCTCCCACTGGGCCGCGCCGCGCCCCCGCCCTGCAACTCCCGAGCCGAGCAGCCGGGTAGACCTCAGCTTTCTAGCCTCCCATGCCCACACTCAGCGCTGCCCCCCTCCCCCCCCCCCACACAAATATGATTGCCGCCTTGTCGCTGCAGGGATGCTGCCAGCGCCGGACAGCGACCCCATGCCAGCGCCGCCACCCGCGACCCACCTGCATGCTGACATCAGCGCGGCTGGTGACATCAGCGTCGGTGGGGCGAGCCCCGTTGGTATTGGCACCTCCAACGATGGCCCCGGCAGCCAAGATGGGGCTCAAGGGGGTTATTGGCATTCCACACTGGCTGACGCCGGGTCTATGCTTCAGCTGTTCTGGCGCGGCCCCGATGGATTGGGCTGGGGCGAGGCGATAGCAGGCGGCGGCAGCGGCTTCGGCGGCGGCGGCGATGGCGCCGCTCTCCCCAACGGCGGCGCCGGCGCGCTGGGGGGCTGGGCGGACGCCTTGGCGCGGCTGCTGTGGGGCGGCGTCCTCGGCTGGGACGGCGGCGCCGCCGCCGACGCCGCAGCAGCGGGCGCGGCGGCTGCTACGGCGGCGGCGCTGCAATCCGACGGCGACCTCGCGGCTGCCGCCGCGCTGCTGCGC